TGGGGGAAAATAGGTTAATCTTTAAAAATCTTCTTCTTCTCAATCAATAGAAGGATTTTGACCAAATTTGTTCTAGAGTATCTTTGGACAAAGGAGCCTCAAACTGAGGTGTGTGGACCCCCTTCTTTGGGGCAGATGATTGGGGCCCATTAGGGGAAATAGAGGAAAACATTAAAGATCCTTCTTCTGTACCATTGAAGGGATTTTAACCTAACCAAACTTGTTCTAGAGAATCTTTTGCCAAAGGGAATTGAATATTTATTAATGGAAGATGTGCCCCCCCCCCCCCCTGAAATAGAGAAAAATATTTTCCCTCCTGTACAAATATACAAATGAAGGATTTAAACCAAATGTGGTCTGAAATATGCTTAGGGGAAATTGTTTTATTTGTATAAAAAGGGGCATGTGAGGCCCAATAGGGAAATTAGAGGAAAATTGGGACATAACATGGAAACTCATTTTCTTGTTGTCTTTCTACCAAAACAGATTTATATGTAGTTCTTCTTGCAACTTTGTTTCTTGTACTCCTTTGATAAACCTGAATGGTACTCAGCAGGTTATAAATTGAAAAATGAAATACCAGGTGAGCTATTAATTAAGGCCCCTTAAAGATTGAAAAGTGTTTAGTTTAGTTCTACATGTCTTTGGTGTGTTAACGTTACATCATATTTGCCACTTATAGTTATACTGCAAAAATAACTTTGAACTTTTCATCAGTCATTCGTCTGTTCGTGTTTCAAGAATCGTTTTCTCTTAATATTTGTGAAGACACGCCCCGACAACAATATTTCCCAATACACGACGACATTATTAGTAGAACTTTCTTTTCAGTGCGATAGGTACACTCAATATTAAGTTTATGAGTGTAAACAACTCACCTTACGATATTATTTACATTCGTTTCCACCGGATGTAAAGCGACACCTCGCGTCAGCTCACTTCCATAGCACAACATTGCAATATGAGTTGTTTCCCTTTGTACGGTCCAAGCTATAAATTGCAGATTTATGGCTTCGCTTGGGATGAAGGGAGGCTATTTTCGAATGCATGAGATTTACGGCTCACGGGCGTGAAACATGCTTCAGCGTGAGTGAGGACGTTTTTAGGGCGTTTTAGCATGAGGTTTTGTCTCACGCCATGAGAGTTGGCAACCCTGTTAGGATAAACCATGCATGTTTTCAGTTGTAATGAGTTAACAGCTCTTATGTAACTGTTTAATGTTTATATCAACTGTCATCACATACTAATTAGCAACTAGCCCCCACTGGATGTGGGATCACTGATTTAATTGCTTTACGGTTCACACATCGGTTAGCAAGTCATCAAGCCATGCGCTGCTTAACCGGCTGGCTGGGCCATTCACAACTTTCACACCTATGCTGCTAATTGGCCTGGCCTGTAATTAAATAGGTAAAGGTTATTGCATGGTTTTTGAGTAACAAGGGATTTATTACACCCGAGCAAAGCGAGGGTGTAATAAGTCCCGAGTGACGAGAAATCATGCAATAACTGGCTTACTGCATGCTTCCCAACTCGAACAAAACAGAAATTGAGTAAAAAATGTTCACCTGGACAATCTTTTTACCTACCCTACACTGCAGATAATTTACATGTACTTGTGTGAGTGAGTACTAATCAGAACCAGGTAAGTTTGTTTTTATTCTCAATAGCCCAGTCTGAGTGTATCCTTCATAATGGATACAAGTGTTTTTGGATTACTATCCACCTCCAGTGTCAGGGAAGGTAAGGAGTGTCTGTTCAACAATTAGAACAAAACACGGGAAACAACGTTGAATTTCTCACTAAATTTTCAGTTTAATTTTCAAGATGTGGCAAAGGTACAGGATATTGAAACCATTTTCATAATACAATGTAAGGGTTTATCAATCCCTAAGGAATTCCATTTCTTTCAATGAATGTTATATTTGAATGTACAATTTTGTATAAAGAAACAGCTCCTAAAGTTTATAAACTTTTCCAGGAAATGCTTATCCTCTCACGTGATAAGGAAATCAATAACGCTGCCAACTCAGTCGTTTTGTTTGTTTGTTTTTCAATCATGAAATTACCATTTTTAACTTTATTTTTGTTATTTTTCATATTTTAAATGTGTCAATTAAGTTTATCCTTTCCACTGTATTGACTTCATCGTTACCTTCTTATTGATTATCTCCCCTTTCTTACAGCATTTGTGACCACAGTCCACTGGGCACACCCCTTTTCATGGTCATGTAATCATGATTGGCCATGAAAGGGGATTATGTGTGCAGTGGACTGTGGTAGCAAGTGGTTTATTGCCCACAGTTTTCCATTGTGAGAGGTGGGAAGTATGCAGTAAGCTTGCGTGTGACTTCAGACCTCTTAGTGACCTACATGTAGGTCAGTGTGAATCCATGTAGCTATTGTTTATTCAATAAGATTGACCAAATTTCGTTTCTTTTCATGAGTCCGATTGAATTTCGTGAGGGTTTTTTTGGAAGCAATTTTCGTGAGTTTCACGCCAAAATCGTTAGATATGGCATGTATGCAGACGGGCGTATTATGCATCCGTTTGCGGTGCTCTTGTTGTACTCTTGTTGCTAAGTTTGTTGAGATCAGTAGGACCGTTCATTTGCACCACATTTCTAATGCAAAAGATGTTTGAAATAGGCCCCGTATTCCCACCAAAAAGTATGTTTTTGGTCTTTAATCTAGGAGCCAAATATTTCTTTTATGCAGGGTTTCCTGCAAGGGCGCATGCAAAAATAATGACATGATTATGTATCTTATTGCCTTATTAAAGGGGCTGGTCGAGGGAAAAAACTACAAAATAAATGGGTCTAAATGCATTCTCTGGCCTTCCAAAAGTTATACCACGGCAATATGATGGTTGAGTTCTACTTGCAATGTCCAGTTTTGACCACTGAAATCTCGGGGAAGCCCCGCGTAAATTTAGCGCAGATCTATTTATAGATGTCATGTGGCTGTTTGAAAGTATGTTTTTGGTCTCTAATCTAGGAGCCAAATATTTCTTTTATGGAGGGTTTCCTGCAAGGGCGCATGCAAAAATAATCACTAATTTATGTGGCTTCAAGTTGAGAATGATATGACATAATTATGTATCTTATTGCCTTAATTAATAAAGGGGCTGGTCGGGGAAAAATTACAAAATAAATGGATCTAAATGCGTTCTCTGGCCTTCCAAAATTTATACCACAGCAATATGATGGTCGAGTTCTACTTGCAATGTCCAGTTTTGACCACTGAAATCTCGGGGAAGCCCCGCATTAATTTGGCGCAGATCTATTTATATATGTCACGTGGCTGTTTCGAAAGTGAGGCAGTGAAGATAACAACAATATCACGCCGTCTATCAGCCATGTCGGACTCAACTAGCAGACAAGACAGCAATACTTTACGTAAATAATTGTTTTAAAAGGTCATGTATGATGCAGGTGTAGTATTCCTACCTATATGTTGTTATATATAACGGTATTGATACCTCATGCCTGTCATGACTTTTGCATGCATCTTTTTCTTTCGCCGCGATGTTTACATTTGGCCTTGTTGATGACGCGCATGTGGTAAAATCACATCACTGATCTGGGTCAATTGAGAGTTTTAGACTGTCAGGTGACGATTTAGGATTTCTAGAATATAATTATAATTTTTACTCTTAGGGAGTGAATTTCAGCAAAATTTGAATCAGGATATTTCATAAGAAGGTATTTTTAACATGTGTATGCCATTTTATGACATTTTTTCCCCGACCAGCCCCTTTAAGTCCCCCAAACAAAGTTTTTATTCCGATTCTAATTATTATTCTTTCTTTTTCCGCTTTCCGCCGTAAAGGATTCCGACACTTTTCTCAGAAACTATAAGTCAGATCTTCACCAAACTTCTGATAGCCTCTAGATGTGCAAACACTTTTTTGTTTTTCCGATTACCATTCAAGATGGCCGCCATGAATTTTTGAAATATTTGGGAATTTAAAATTTCTAAAGGTGTTCGCTAAAGATAGCCAATGTCACCTATCCTATTTTACATGTTTTATAGAAATTTTCCAATGCATTCCAAATTTGGCATGTAGGTATATGATAGTACTACGAACTCTGAACCATGACATCCGTTTTCTAAAAAATGGGTGCCATATACTGGTTACCGATTGGTCGAAACTCTGTTATTGTTCGATTTCAATCAAATTTAGTATGTATGTGTAATATGGCATTGCAAACTCAACTGGGACATTTGTTTTCTAATTTGACAAAATGGCCACCATATACTGGGTTCTGATTGGTTGAAATTTAGATATTGTTCGATGTTTGTGAAAATTAGTTTACAGGGGTATTAGGGGACTGCGAATTCAATCGCATAGGATATGTTGCCATATCAACCACATGGAGGCTTCTGATCGGTCGAAATTCAGATAGTGTTCGATTTTGATGACAATCGATATATAGGGGTATTAAAGGACTGCAAATTCAATTGCATACCTTCGTTGCCATAGCAACCACACAGAGGCCTCTAATTGGTCGTAATTTAGAAATTGTTGGATTTCACTCAAATTTAGTATGTAGGTGTATAAAGGCATTGCGATCATTTTCTGATGCATCTTTGCGACTATGGGGTAGATATTGTTCGATTTTAATAAAAATTAGTATATAGGAGTATTAGGGGACTGTGAATTCAACCGCATAGGTTTTGTTGCCATAGCAACCACACAGAGGCTTCTGATAGGTTGAATTTTATATATTGTTTGATTTTTATGAAAATTGGTATATAGGGGTATTAGGTTATTGCAAATTCAACTGCATAGGTTTCGTTGCCATACCAACAACATGGAGGCTTCAGATTGGTCGAAATTCAAATATTGTTTGATTTCACTCAAATTTAGTATGAAGGTGTTTCATGCCATTGTGCTCCTTTTCTGATGTGTCGACTATGGGGGCAGTTTGATCAACTTCTGTAATGGTCCCTCATTACAATTTAGTACTTGTTGTAATGCTAGTTTTATGTTTCAGGCCACTTGACAATCTTCAGACGTGTCTGAGTTCCCTGAGGTCCGAGATCACAGGTCTCCAGAAACAGATGGATGACCACATTAACACTATAGAAACATCTACTCAGTCCTGGAGGTATCATATCATACTGTAAAAGTGCAATTTTTAGTATGTAAAAGTGTCAATTTTGGCACAACTGTATAGCAGGTTACAAATGTATTTAATGACAGGCTTAAATTTCAGAAAAAATCATAGAAATCTAGTAATTGAATTTGTTTTAACAAACCTTCAACAGAACTATAAAATGTGTGATAGTATCTTTTTTCAAATGTTGTTGAAGCATATAAATCCATTAACAACCACATACTCACTATTTCCTGACAGCACTACGGTTAAGATGTTTGTTATCATGGCTCATTTTTAGCTCACCTCCCACCTGCATCAACTTTTCCTTTAAAACGGCCAGTAGTCCTGAACGGTTTAGTGGATTTTAACTCAATTTGGTCTGGAGCATCCTTGGGCCAAGGGGACCCAATTCCGTATAAACAGTGGGTGTGGCCCCCCTGGGGTCAGAGGGTTGGGGCCAAATAGGGGAAATGGGATGAAACCTTAAAAATCCTTCTTCTACCGTAGGGATTAAGGGATTTTATCCTTGTTTAGCCTGGAGCATCCTTTTGCCATTGGGATTCAATTTTGTATAAACTGTGGGTGTGGCCCCTCTGGGGTCAGAGGGGTGGGGCCCAATAGGGAAAGTAGAGGTAAAACCTTTAAAATTCTTCTTCTATGGTAGGGTTTAAGGGAATTTATCTTAATTTAGTCTCAAGCATTATTTGGCCAAGGGATCTCAATTTTGTATAAACGGTGGGTGTGGCCCCCTTGGGGTCAGAGGGTAGGGCCCAATAGGGTAAATAGAATTAAAACCTTTAAAATTCTTCTTCTATGGTAGGTATTAAGAGATTTTATCCTCATTTAGTTTGGAGCATCCTTGGGCCAAGGGGACTCAATTATGTATAAAAGGTAGGTGTGCCTCTGGGGGCAGAGGGGCAGGGCCTTATAGGGGATATAGAGGTAAACCCTTTAAAACCCTATCTTCTATCATAGGCATTAAGATATTTTATCCTAATTTGGTCTGCAGCATCCTTGGGCAAAAGAGAATCAATCTTGTATAAACAGTGAGTGTGGCCCCCTTTGGGGGCAGAGGGACTGGGCCCAATAGGGGAAACATAGCAAATTCTTCAAAATCCTTCTTCTTTAGCAATGAAATGATTTTGTCGAAACTTAAATCAAAGTACCCTTGGATAAAGTGGAAGCAACTTGAATAAATGGTGGGTCTGAACCCCCTGGGGCCTGAGGGATGGGGCCCAATATGGGTAATTTAGCAAATACTTTAAAGTTCTTTTTCTTCTGTAGGAATGGCAGGGTTTTGTCCATATTTGGTCTGAAGTATCCTTGGGTGAAGGGGTCTTAATTTTGTATAAACGGTTGTTCTAACCCCCCAGGGGCAGAGGGGTAGGGCTATTCAACTTCAACGAGGAAGGCCAGTAAAATGCATATTAGCAGTTCTTGTTATCACTATTTCAGAAAGTACTTGGGGGATCTTTTCCAAATTTCGTATGTAGGGCCCTCCTTGGTCATGAGTTGTGCATGTTTTAATTTTGAGACTGATCACATTATCAGCATGGCTGACTGGCGGCCATGTTGAATTTAACAGTGAACTTTTGAATGCTATTTCTCAGAAAGTACTTGATAGATTTTTCTCAAAGGATGATTGTCTATAAGGCCCTTTTTTGGGCCCCCTGTATATTCGGATTTTCACCTCCTATTGTATGACATGTGGAAAAAACTAAGGTAAAACTTTGACCGAAAGTGGGTTTCTGGGGGTACCAAAAGGATTAAGGTAAATCACAAATATAGTTTGCCGTTTTCAAAATGAGCTTAAAAACCAAAATAATACCATTTCTGGTTTTGAAAACATGTATAAATTAGACAAGCATATGTAACAGAATGAAAAATGACAGAAATTCAATCGTCACATAAAGATTGTTTATATAGGGTCTCTTTGTACTAATTTGACCTTGACCTTTCAGTTCAGTGGAGGACCAAGTAAAGGAGTTGCAAAGGATAGTGAAGACCATCAACGACACGAACATGATGACCAATAGTCAAGGGATGAACTCCCTGGCTGGGGCTGGAGTCATTGAAATCTAAACAGTCTTGTCATGGAAATAATATCTAAAGGGCAGCAGCTTTCTTACCCAAAACTCAGAGAAAAAGAGGAAGCAAAATAATGGTACTTGCATCTAAGAAGATTTGCATGTTCCTTTGATATCGGATAATGAAAATCCATCATCACAAAATCAAATGCATCACGGAATGTCATTGTACATGTAGTATTTCATGTGCTGATTTCTATGAAAAGCGGGGGATATTAATTTGGGCCCATCCGTCTCTCCGTCTGTCACGGTTCAGTTTCTGTGAATAACTACGCTAATGATGGTCTGATTTCAACATCATTTGGTGTGCACATACATATGAACATTTTGAAGACTGAGTAAGCTCATCAATGTGATCCTTGCATATTTATGAATAATTATGCACTCTGATTGGCTTCATTTTTTCCATGCAATAAGTGCGCTTATAATGGTCCTATTCAAACAAAATGTGGTGTGTACATACATATTAAGATGTTTAAGACTTCTTTCACTCGTCAATATGATCCGTGCATATTTATGATAATTAATTACACTTATACTTTCTAATTGGGGAAATGGTTTCTGTGCAATAACTATGCCTAATGACGGCCCTATTTCAACAAATTTTGGTGTGCACATACATATTAACATGTTTCAGGCTCCATTCGCTCGACAATGTTATTCCCAGAGTAGCAAAGCTCAGGATATCAATAAGTCAAATCTGTATATAAATTCTCCAATGAAAAGTTTCCATAGTGGCATGAGTGACCAATGAAATTTGGCTTATACATAAACCCCCTAGAACTATTCTAGGCTGTTACATTTCATACCATAGCTAGTCCTGACTTACTAGCCATTTTGAAACAAACTGTGGCCCAAAGGGCCATGTGAGCTTATGCCCATCGTCCGTCGTTTGTCCATCAACTTTTTCTTTTGAACAACTTCTTCTGAAGAACTGGAGGACCTAGGGTCATGATATTTGGCCTGTAGGTACCTGGGATGGAGTGCTATTAAGTTTCTTAATTAAAATGACCTTGACCTAGTTTCAAGGTCACAGGGATCAAATATGTTGAAAACTTCAAACAACAATATCCTATGAACCATTTCGACTCGAGTCATGATACTTGGGTATGTTATGTAGACCAGCAGTGCAAATCTTTTACTTAATTACAGTAATGAAGACAAAGGTCAACTTTAAGTTCTAGTCGGGGGTCAAATGTCAAAATGGGTTAAAAGCTTTAACAATCTTCTTCTCAAATTCCATAAGGCCTAGGGTCATGATATTTGGCCAGTAGGTACCTGGGATGGAGTGCTATTAATGTTCCTCATTGAAAAGACCTTAACCTAGTTTCAAGGTCACAGGGGTCAAATATGTTAAAAACTTTAAACAACAATATCCTAAGAACCATTTGGACTAGATATGATACTTGTGAGCTTATGCCGTGGTGCAGCGCCTGTCGTCCGTCCGTCCGCCCGACCAACTTTCATAGTCAAATGTCTTAAAATCTTCAAAAAACTTCTACTCAATAACCAAAAGGCCTAGACAACTGATATTGGGACTGTAGCATGATGGGATGAAGGGCTACCAAGTTTGTTCAAATGAATGACCTTGACCCACTTTCAACCCTCCTTGTTCGACATTCAAGGTCAAAGGAGTCAAATATGTTTAAAACTTTAAACAACTTCTTCTGAATAACCAATGGGACCCAGGCTGATACTATTTGGCCAGTAGCATGCTTGGATGAAGAGCTACAAAGTTTGTTAAAATGAATGACCTTTGCCCATTTCTAAGGTCACACGGGTCAAATATGTTTAAACTATTAAACAGCTTCCTCTAAATAACCAAGATGCCCAGGCTGAAGATATTTGGGCAGTAGCATGCTGGGATGAAGGTCTACAAAGTTTGTTCAAATGAATGACCTCACTCACATTCAAGGTCACATGGGTCAAATATGTTAAAATCTTTAAACAACTTCTTCTGAATAACCAAAAATGCCCAGGGTGATATTTGGCCAGTAGTATGCTGGGATGAAGGGCTACGAAGTTTGATAAATGAATGTCCTTGGCCCATATTCATGGTCAAAGGGTTATTTGTCTTAAAAAACACTTATATACAACTGCTGAATAACCTAAGGTACCAGGGTGATTGGTTGTTCATGGGAATGACCTTGACATACTTTCAAGGTCACATCTAGTCAACAGTGCATAAATCTTTAAAAGTCACCTCAATAAACAAAAGGTATAGGGCCAATAGGGTGATGTTTGACAAGTTGCATTCTGTGAGGAAGGGTATAGAGTTTGTTCAATTTAATGTCCATGTTTGACTTTCAAGGTCACAGGGGTAAATATGTTTTGATCATTAAACAGATTCTTTCGAATGACTTAAGTCAAGACACTGATATTTTGTCTGTAGCTTTATTTTAGCCCACTCTTAAGGTTACAATTGTGAGATTAATACCAGGTGAGCGATGTAAGCCCATTGGGACTCTTGTTTATTAATGTCGCTTTTAGTGGGTGTGACACGTCAACAATGAATCAACCAATCAAATTCAGGTTTTAGCGTCAAATATTGCTATATTGCATGTAGGCAACGAAAGTGAAATTTAAAGTTTTGATTCACAGGTCCTTGTGTATTGATGTTATGATTTTTCAAGCATTTTCAAGGAGAGTATGAGGCATTGAAGTAGTCCGCAGTGTAATCAGATTTCTTTCGTTCCATTATAATAAAAATGTCATTAGCAAGTTAGAACTTGATTTGTTGCATGTTATCTCACTAAAAAATGTTTGTTACATTTGTTGATGCTGTTAGTCTGTGCTACTATAGAGTGATCCTTTTCTATCTGCAACATGAGAGATCATATGCATTCATTCGTCCGTCCGTCCGTCCGTCCGTCAACTTTTCCTTTAAACAACTTCTTCTCAGGAACGGACAGGCCTATAGTCATGATATTTGGCTGAAAGCTTTGTTGGTAGGAGCCCAACAAAGTTTGAGAACGAAAATGACCTTGACCTTCTTTCAAGGTCACAGGGGTCAAATGTGTCAAACACTTCAAACGACTTCTTCTAAAGAACTAAAAGGTATAGAATCTTTATATTTGGCTGGTAGCTGCCTGGGATAGACAACAACAAAATTTGAGAATGAAAATGACCTTGACCTACTTTTAAGGTCACAGGAGTCGGATATGTCTAACGCTTAAAACAACTTCTTCTGAAGAACAGAAAGGTATAGAATCTTAATATTTGACTGGAGGTTACCTGGGATAGAACCGAACAAAGCTTGTGAATGAAAATGACCTTGACCTACTTTCAAGATCACAGCGTTCAAATATGTCAAACGGTTCAAACGACTTTTTCTGAAGAATTAAAAGGTATAGAATCTTCATACTTGGCTGGTGCATAATGGGATACAGCCCTACAAAGTTTGAGAATGAAAATGACTTCAACATACTTTAAAAGTCACAGGGGTCCAATATGTTTCACTTCGAACGACTTCCAAAGAACGTAAAGGTATAGAATGACCTCGACCTACTTTCAGGGTCACATCAATCAACCTACTTTAGAGGTCACAGAGGTCAACAACATTTTAAAGGATTTGTTCTTAAGAACTAAAAGGAATGCATTCATAATATTTGGCTGGTAGCTTTTTGGAATAGAGATAACCAATTTGAGAAGGAAAATGGCATTGACCTACTGACAAGGTCACAGGGAAAAATATGTCAAACAACTTCTGAAGAAGAATAAAAAAGTATAGAATTTTATAATAATATTTGGCTGGTAGTTTCAACAGATGGAGCCGACAAAGTTTGCGAGGGAAAAATTTGTAGTGCAATATAATATTTAATGAGAAAATTTTGCTATGACTGCTTAGATATTCAGGTGAGCGATACAGGCCCTCTGGGCCTTTTTTATGCACTAGACTTGTTTCCCCTCAAGAACCTGTTTTTAACATAAACCTTGACCTGTATAGTGAGAAAACAATTTAACACTGAATTCATACATACTTTTTAATGGACAATTGCTGCCTTATAGACATTATCTCAAACTTTTCCATGTGTTTTTACCTGCCATTATCTCAAACTTTTCCATGTGTTTTTACCTGCCATTATCTCAAACTTTTCCATGTGTTTTTACCTGCCATCATCTCAAACTTTTCTATGTGTTTTTTCCTGCCATTGTATTTTTTTCCTTTGATCTTGGCGAGTTCATTGCAATCTATATTATTGATGAACCACGTAAACTGTTGTGTGTCAGGGAAAACACACTGGTAATGTTTATGATTTTTAGCCCACCATCATCAGATTGTGGGTTGATCAAATTGTCCATCGTCCTTGGTCTGTCGTCAGTCCATCCATCTTTAAACAACTCTTGTCATCATTATTTCTTAAGAAGTAGAGATCGATTTTTCAAATTTCATGTGCATGTTTCACTTTAGGACTGATCAGTAAAACAAGATGGAAGCATGACTGAGGCAGCCATCAGGGTTTTGACAGTTCACGTTTGTTAAGAAGTACTTGAAAGATCTTTCTAAAATTTCATATGCAGGTCCCCCTTGGTCATTAGTTATGCATATTCTGTTTTGAGACTGATTAAAAAATCAAGATGGCCACCAGCTAGGCAGCTATCTTGGATTTTGAGAGTTCAAGCTTGTTTTTCGAAAATTTCTTAAAGGGGCTATTTCGTCAAATGACAACTTAAAAATCAAGTCGATACTGAAAATACATATCTCCTAACAAAAGTTCACGTAGTTGATAATGACAGTAGCTGAAGCCAAAGTCCAGTGTGCACGTGGTCAGTTTTATATTTTGGGAAAGCCGTTGATAAAAATATAAAGTGTCGACCATCTTGATTTTGTGATCAGTCTGAAATGATATGCATATCTAGGGACCATCGGGAACCTTTATGTGAAATTTGAGAATTGTTTAAGGACAGACGGACCACGGACGCAGGGTGATTTGAATAGCCCACCATCTGATGATGGTGCAGGGCTGGAAAAGAAGGGAAAAGATCTAACTGGCATAGAACTAATGAAGATCTGATGATGGTTTATGCCAAGATCTCTCTGGGATCTTCTGTTTTAATTGTTTTATTGTAATGTTGCTAATGAATGCTGGTGTATTTTGTTTGTTTTGGGGTTGTTTTTAATAGAATTGAAAGATTTCAATATTTTCATGTGCCGATACATATTATTGTCAAATGTGTTCAGTATTGTTTGCTTCCTATAATATGCTACCTACTGTAACTCTGTTTGATGTGCTGATGAAATAGATAAATGTTCATTTATTTGTATTTTGGTTGTCCATATGTAACCATATAAGTGGGAAATATAAAGTCATATCATATCATTAGAATTTTAATATTTAATATTGTCAACTTTTTCAACACAGAAACCTTGATTATTTTTTGATGAGAAAGGAGTGTTAAGTAGTTAAATCATCAGTAAATGAATAAGATCTGGAATGAACCAAAGACTCAGGGTGTTATGTCATTTTTGGCCTCATAGATGTTAAAAATTTAACTTGAATTTATTTACCAATAAACATCATATTGGTTAATTGGGCAATCTTTCCTGGATCGTCCGTCGTCGTCCGTTGTCAACTTTTTCTTTAAAACCTATCTCCTACTTAACACCAGTGAGGATTTCAACCAAATTTAGTCTGAAGCATCACTAGGGGAGGGCAATCATTTCTTAAATAAATGACGTTGGTTCGACCCTTGAGGCCATGGGGGGCGGGGCCCTGATGGGGAACTTACCTAAATTTGCTTTAAAATGCATCTCCTGCTAAACACCAATAAGGATTTCAACCAAATTTAGTCTGAAGCATCAATAGGGATGGGCAATCATTTCTTAAATCAATGTGGTTGGTTCGACTCCTGAGGCCAGGGGGGCTGGGCCCTGAAGGGGCACTTAGCTAAATTTGCTTTAAAACGCATCTCCTGTTTAACGCCAGA